GTCACCTACAATTATTTTCATGTAGTTTCGCGGTAGTTTATCATAAACCCATTCGAGTTTATCGTAAAATTCACTTTTGACTTCATCGTCACTGTCTTCGGTCGGACAATGTATGTTTATTAATGCGATTTTAAACCAACGTCCCTGAAATGTAGCTACCGAAATTCTATCACTAAAGAATTGTACGTCCCTCAAAGCGGATAGTAATCTACTCCTAATTAGAAACCCGGTACCTAAACAATGATTCCCGCTTCCTCCGTACCAAATAGTGTACTTTCCTTCCCTCATCGAGCCCTCCCCTGGCCAGCGAACCTCTTGCAGAGCCACGACATCCAAATTGTACCCATTTACCTCATTCGCGACCGATTTTAGCCCCCCTGCTGTGTTTAAACTCCTTACGTTCCACGTACCAATATTTAAATCCCTATATTTCAACTTGCGGCATGAATCCCCTAAAGCAGTCCCCACCCGGAGACCCGAACGGGGGACTAGTTTACCTCCGGATAATGAGCGTTTTACCTTAGGGAGATCCATGACTTTTTGTGGTGTTTGGTGAACTAAAGATATGTGAGTAGGGCGTTCAATCCTACGTCACACCCTCCAGCAAGTCTGGTGGGCCCCTACCTCCAGCAAGTCTGGAGGTCCACTCCCTCCAGCAAGTCTGGAGGGCCCCTCTCATTGTTGGTCAGCGAGTCCATCGGACTTAGCCGGGAGGAACTTCCAAGGAATTTCCACCGACCATCCCCACATCCGCCACCCGTGGGACGCTCCCCATACGCGGTAATGATCCCGCGCGAGGGCCAAAAAAAAATAAATTAAAAAAAATGGTATACTCCAACAATCTGGTTAAATGATGTCATCAGGCCGATATATCGTTCTTTAGAATACAGGTGTCTGCTCAAATTTATGTTAATATCAATTTCTTGGTGATTGATTGACACATTTAATAGAAATATAAATAGTATTCCTTGTAAATCCCTGTGAATCAGGATAAAATAAGATCGTGAGACTGATGTACCTGTCTTTTAAATATCATAAACTGCTCAAATTAGGGGAATCAGAGGACTATAAAAAAAAAATTTAATAAAATAAATATAAGGTCAAATTCTACCAATCTCAATAAATTAAGACCGTGAAGCCGATATATCGGCCCAATGAGAGTACTAACAAATTGCTTAAGATATGAGCACAAAATAAGGTTAAACTGTTGTGAGGCTGGTCTCTGCTGTGATATATCGGTCTTTGCTGAAATTTATGTTTATGTCGATCGATTGACACATCTATTATCAATAATACTATAAAAATAATATTCCAAGTATGAACCTTAATAAAATAAGGTCATAAGGCCGATATATTGATTTTTAGAATATTGGTAAGTTAGAATTTCGGGATTAGGAAAAAAAAAAAAAAAAAAATCGGTTTTTAGAATATTGGTATCGGCTGAAATATTGATTCATCTCTCTTTTATCGGTCAAAATTTGCTTTCAGGGCGATGCGTAGATGGTCAGTTTATTCTTTTATTTAGTAATAAGCAGGATATTCCATGTGAAACTGTATAAATTTGACGAATAAGGAAAAAAAAGAAGGCCGATACATCGGCCATATCCTCTTTTTTAATATCGGTATCACCAGTGTTGTGCAAAATTTATCTTAAATAAAATATAATAGCTAACGAATAATTTATTCAAACTTTCAACTACATATAACAAATGCTTCTGTTTATCTTTTATCTAGATAATAAATACATTTTTTGAGTTTTTCGGATTTCTTCCATGTCAGGGTTTTGGGGGCGCTTTTTATGAAAATACTGTGGGATTTGAGATAGCGGTCCTGGGCATCGACTTTTTGTAACTTTTCTGATTAAATCGGTATGAGAATCGACTAATATATTTTTCGAGCTTTTTATGAATATACTGTCGGATTTGAGATACAGCCCCCGGACATTGACTTTTTGAAACTTTTCGTATTTAATTGAAATGAGGATCGACTAATATGTTTTGGGGGCCGCTTTTTATTACAATACTTTCGGATTTGAGATGGCGCCCCCTGGCATCGACTTTTTGTAACTTTTTAGATTAAATCGATAAGAGGGTCGGCTATTATGTTTTGGGGTGCGCTTTTTATGAAAATACTGTTGGATTTGAGATTGCGCCCCCAGTCATCGACTTGTAGTAACTTTTCCGATTTAATTGAAATGAGGGTCGATTAATTTGTTTTTTTTGGGGGGGGGGGGCGCTTTTCATAAAAATGCTTTCGGATTTGAGATGGCGCCCCCAGGCATTGACTTTTTGTAACTTTTCGAATTTAATCGATATCAAGGTCAACTATGATGCTTTGGGGGGTGTTTTTTATGAAAAAATTGTTTGATTTTAGATTGTGCCCCCAAAAACATTATAGTCGATCTTGACATCGATTGAATCCGAAAAGTTACTAAAAGTCGATGTCTGCTGGACGCTATTTCGAATCCGACACTATTTTCATATTAAGCATCCCCCAAAACATAATAGTCGACCTTACTATCAATTGAATCAGAAAAGTTACAGAAAGTCGATGACCGGGGGCGCGATCTCAAATCCGAATAGCCCTGGAGCCAGGGCCCAAAAATCGACCTGATCGTAGGCGAAGGTTTGATTGTAGATTACGAAAGTGTATGTTATTCTGAGTAAAAAAAACCTTGTCTGCCGTTCCGGAGCCGCTGCTTTCAAAAATGGCGACTGATTTAAAGAATATTAGGCCAATAATCTGAGGATCGAAACGGGAAGTCCATTGCGAAAAATGTGAGAAAAGTTTTTATTTTTTTAACCTTTATATATAGGTTTAGACATGTAAAAAACAAAATTGCTGAAGTGGCTCATCAAGGAAAAACTTTACAGCCAAAAAAGTCAGATTTTTTCGATATTTTTTGGGTTTTTCACCTTTAACTCCTAAATAATGCATCAAAGCAAAAAATGTATACATTAATAAATTCAAGAACGTTAAATTTTGCGTCAGACGAGTACATAAACTTTAAAATTTGGTTACGCGGTAAGTTATAAAACCACGGTCAACCAACGTTGAGTTTTACCAAATTTGTCAAAAACTGAGACAAATTACTATAAATGGCCTTGTAACTTGGAAATGAGTTCCCTTAGAGGAAAAACCCATAGAATAAAAGTTGTAGAGCATCAAATTTTGCGTATACTGATTACTGACATTTTTATTATTGGCTAATTATATATATCGAATCGGGATTCGTTATTCCTTTATAAATTTCGGTATCTCACATGGTTTACCAAAATCTTTTGCTGTTGAGAGGTGGAAAAGAGGCTTATGTTGCGTGTAACAGACTTTAAACAAAACTAACTCAGTAGAATAGACACCCATACTGTTGAAATATTGAAAATTCCGTTTACCTTCATTACCAATTTCTAACCATCGCGAGATTACCGATTTTGTTCGCAGAAAGTGACCTACATTAAATTAGTTGATACTGTGCATTTTGATACCGAAATTTGATGCTCCCAACTTTGATTCTATGGGTTTTTCCTCTTAGGGAACTCATTTCCAAGTTACAGGGCCATTTATAATAATTTGTCTCAGTTTTGGGCAGATTTGGTAAAATCAGCGTTGGTTGACCGTGGTTTTATACCTTACTGCGTAACCCAATTTTAAAGTTTATATACTCGTTTGACGCAAAATTTAACGTTCTTTACTTTATTAAAGTATACATTTTTTTGCTTTGATGCATTGTTTAGGAGTTAAAGGTGAAAAACCCAAAAAATATCGAAAAAATCTGACTTTTTTGGCTTTAAAAAGTTTTCCCTTAGCGGCCTGCGCTAGCTATTTTGTTTTTTACATTTCTAAATCCATATATACAAGTTAAAAAAATAGAAACTTTTCTCACATTTTTCGCAATGGATTTCTCGTTTCGATCTTCAAATTGTTGGCCTAATATTATTCTTTATATCAGCCGCCATTTTTTAAAGTAGTGGCTCCGGAACAGCAGACAAGGTTTTTTTTACTCAGAATAACATACACTTTCGTAATCTACAATCAAAACTTCGCCTGCGATCAGGTCGATTTTTGGGCCCTGGCTCCAGGTGTGTTTTCATAAAAGTGTTTTCATAAAAAGTACCCCCCAAAACATAATAGTCGACCCCCATATCGATTAAATCCAAAAAGTAGTTGCCCGAGGGCGCGATCTCAAATCCCAAAGTATTTTCATAAAAGTGCCCCCCAAAACATAATAGTCGACCTTCATATCGATTAAACCCGAAAAATTACAAAAAGTGGTTGCTCGCCGGCGCCATCTCAAATCCGTAAGTACTTTCATAAAAAACACCCCCAAAACATAATAGTCGACCCTCATATCAATTAAATCCGAAAAGTTACTAATAGATAATATATAATGCATATTATTTGTAAATAACAAATATTTATCTGTTCAAAGGTCATCGAATAAGAATCCAAAACAAAGGACAGCATTCAAAATATTAATTAAAATTTTGAGTAGAATAAATTAATGAATTACTGTTTAATGTAACAATGCATGAAAACTTTTTTCTGCTATAAAATTCGTAATTTATACTTTAATTTGCATTTATAATCTATGTCTTTATTGTTACACAAATATAATTGAAAAAATTGGTAAGATTGGTATTGAAATTATATTTAATTGTTTAAATAAAAAATAAATGCATGAAAGTATCTTTTCATTGATTTTTTATTTCCTGTTAGTTTGTGATTGTAAACTTTTGCTGGCCACTGAATATATATTTATATTTAGGTGTACATAAAAATGTTAATAATAGGATAAATAAATAAATACAATTTTAAAAATTCAATTATGTAATACATTACAGATAAATAATTAAGATATTTGACTTGAATATGTATATTAATGTAAGACCTATTATTTCAACTCCACCATCCTTATATTATGGTGAATATTGTGCTCTGTCTATTTATTTATTTTTATTATAAACCTTTTATCATTTATTTCTGTTTTTAAATCATTACAGACAACTCCAATCCCTGGTATCAGACCTCCCATGGGTGGTCCTGGACAAGTTGTTCCTCCACCTAAAACAACTAGTGGAACCATGGGAGTAGTTATGCCAATGTATACAATTGGTATAATTGTTTTCTTTTTATACACTATGATGAAGGTAAAACACTGTTTTTAGATTATGTATTAAATCTGCCTAATATAATTACTTTGTATTGTGACTAATGCTCTTTGGATGGATACTAAATACTTCTATTATTAAGGTCATGTCTTTACCTGATTTTTGTATGTAAGGATTAATTTTAAATTAAATTTTATCAAAATGTCTCATTAGAAAGGAAATGTAAGTTTGGACTTATTTTGTGCAGTTCTTCATACAATGTATGCATATAATGATTAATTTACATATATTCTGTTACTCTTTGCTTCCATCAGTATATTTATCCACCCATATTATATATTTATTATTTTTAAGTAGATACCGATATTCCAAAGACCGATATATTAATCTCACTTCCTTATTTTATTTAACGACCATCTTCTTTAACTACCTTTTTCATTTTTTAAATTATTTTGCTCCTTTACTTACAAATCTTATTTGTCCTCTTATTGAACCGATAGAGTTATCTTTGTCAATGTTTCAGTCGCCAAGGAATCAAAATAAATATAAATTTGAACAGAAACCAATATTCTTAAGACTTATATATCGGCCTGATGACTTCTTTTTATAGAGATTGGAAGATTCAAGTTACTGGCCTAATATTCTTTAAATCAGCTGCCATTTTTTCATGCAGTATGATCTAACTAGCAGACTCTAATTTTTAAATATAACTGTTATGAATTTTATAAAAATACTTTAAAAATTTTTATCAGGTAATGTCAACTTTTTTGCACGGACTCTCTGGCCATTCTGCTGTAATAAATCTAATACACACCTGTTATTTGAGCTTCCATCACTTCCGAAGTTCTCTTTCATCATCCATCCGACAAACATGGCCAAACCACTTCAGTTGTCGATTTTCAAGCATAATCTTAAGCTCTACCACCTCCAGCTCCTCCCCTATCCGTTCATTTCTGAAGCGGTCCCTTCTGGACTTCCTAACGGCCCTCCGCTGGAGCTTCATCTCAGCACTTGTTACCTGGCTGGCCGCCTGCTTGTCCAGAATATCCCAACTTTCACTTCCTTAAGTCAGGGTTGGTAGGTACACAGACTTGAATATATGCCTTTTTGTTTCATTACTAACGTCTCTGTGTCCCACTATGGTTTTACAGATAGCGTATAAACCTGGTTGGCTTTGCACATCCTATTTGCTATTTCTGGGTCAATCTTCCCCATATTGCTAATGACTGTCCCCAAATAGGTAAATTACTGCACAACCTTCGGTACCTCACTATTATAGATCAGCTGGACATCTTCTTGTTTTGCTCTTAAAAGAACTAAGATATTGCTCTTAGAGGTGTTGATAGCCATTCCTTTGCGGAAGAGCTCTTCCTGCCATTCCACAAGGGCTTTTGTAGCTTGTCTTTCGTATCTGTTATACGATGTCATCTGCTATACAATAAGCTTTGAACCATAACATTCCTCATGTTCCATTTACCGATGACCATCCAAGCAGTACGGCGCTTACAAATTTTATGGATTTCATCCATAAATATGATGAATAAGAGGGGACTGAGGCTGTCTCCCTGCCTCACACCTCTTTCTATGGGAAAAAGCTTGGACTCTCTTCCATTGATCCTCACGACTCCTTTCGCCTCCTGATAAACCAATGTAATAGCTGTGATAAGATCTCTTGGAACATTGTTTGTTTTTAAAGCATCCCATATTTCTTTTCTGGGAATGGAGTCGAATGCTGCTTTGAGATGTAGGAATGCCATATATATATATATATATATATATATATATATATATATATATATATATATATATATATGTTCTTATCTCTGTCCCAAGCTTTCTCTGCGATGCTTCTCAGTATAAAGATGTGGTCTTGAGTCTGCCTCCTTGTTCTTATTTTCATGAAGTCCTTAGCCTACTTTCTAAGGTTGAGGTGTATAGTTTGTAAGCCACCAAAAGTAAGCTTATTGGCTTGTGCTTTTCACAGTAAGTGAAGCAACCTTCCTTGCTAATAAGGAACAATGATCCTGAACTTGGAATGATCTTCCTGTCCCATATTTTTTGGAGGAGTTGCTGGAGAAATTTAATAAGCTCTTGACCTCCAAATTTCAATAATTCTGGAGCTATACCACCCTTCCTGCTGACTTACATATTTTAATTTTTTCGATGGCATACTCTATCTCATCTTCCTCAATGGCATCAGAATTCTCCAGAATATAATTTTCTGCAGTATGTTCTCCTGGGTCATTAGGCCCTTCTGATAAGTGTCCTCGATAAAACTCTCCACGTTCAAGAATTTTTACCTCTTCTGTTATCATCTTGTCATTTGGATCTTTAACATTTCTCACTGGCTTTCTTCCTTTCTCTGACAATGTCTTTACTTTGTGCTAGAATTGTTTAATACTCTCTCGGTGGTCTTCATCGAGGCTTTTTCCAAACTTCTCCCATGCAGCTCTTTGTGCTTGGTGGATCATTTCTTTGCATCAATATATGGCCAATGGTATTGGTTCCATTTTTTGACCATTCTATCTTAAAGGTAGTCTTTCCATGCCTTCTTCTTTAATTGGAAGACGTGGCACCTCTTCATTCTAAGCCTCTTCTTGATGAGACAGGCTTCCAGTTTTCTAGATCTTTCACAAAAGTTCCTTGAGGGACTCAAACATATATAAGAGCATATTTGCTCTCCAACTTCAGTTCACCACTTCATTTCTTCCTTACCTCACTAATACCAAGTAAATCCACCTTATAACTCTTCATCTCTTAAACAAGCTCAAATTCTTAATATTCCAGGTACCAAATCGTAAGTCCTTAAAAGCACCAAGTCTTTTCCACGAGATCAGTCCACATCTGAGGCTAGTATTTTTACTTTACATAAAATTTACTACCATGTGGGTCATTAGCCCAGCTATGGAGATTCCGTATCCTCAGGACAACTGGTCTTCCGAATATTTGTATCCCCTTTGAAGAAAGGGTGGCTAGGCTATACCCTCTAACACTGGGTCCTCAGTAGAACTTAGTCATTACAGGACATGTAATGTTACCAACCCCGGGACTTGGACCCTCTTGCTTAGAGTTATTCAGGTGAGCTCAGAGAAGATGACTCTGGTGTCCCCTGGAACGGGTTAATAGCCCCAGAAAAACCTACAGTATCTGTGAGAATATAATCCCTTCGATCCATTCTAGATAACACCAGCTTTGCTTGTGTATATTTTTATTTGGGAAGACAGAGGTCATGATTACTAGGGACTTAAATGTTGCAAAATTAACTAGCCTTCCTCCATTATTAGTTGTTATATGCAGACTGTCCAACTGTTGGTACAAACTTTGGTTCTTTCCCTATTTCAGTTTAAAAGTCTCCCAAAATTATTTTCATGTCATATTGTGGGCATTCATCGCAGGTTCTTCCCAAATGTTCGTAGATTCAGTAGGAGCATATGCAATGGTGATGCTGATATTGTTGAACCATCCCTTAACTCTGAGCTTAAACAATTTGTCACTAACTGGTTGGAAATCTATGAGAGCTTCTTTTAGTTTTCTTGAGACTAAGAATGCTGTGCAGAATTGATGGTTTTCATTGCTACTACTTAACATTAGTCTATTATTTTATTTTTAGTTAAATATTAGGTTTGAACATATGGAATGTCAGTTCCTAGGATATGAGAGAAAATAAACTTTAACAATATTATTTTTTTTCAAATTCTCTCTTTTTTTATCCCATGTTCAGATAAAATTTTGGCTTCTAATTAATAAACTTAATAAATGAAAATTTTTGGAATATTTTGTTTTGTTATAATACATCAAGCATTCTGAAAAAATAAATGCCCGCATGCTAGGAAGGACCATATTTTATTTTTGTATTATGCTTATTTCTTATATTTTTCAGCTTCTGTTTAAAAAATCTGATGCTTCAGAATCACTGGAATGCTTTGTTGCTGATCCAGATTTTCATAAAACAGTTTTTAAAGAAAACAATCATTCATGTATTCAAGATATTTCAAGTATTCAAGAAGATGGCACCAAAATAGGTAATTTACATAGTAGTGATAATTTTGTTATATTATTTAATTGCTTATCGACTAGCATATAGTTTGAAAAAAATAATCCCTTTAAGTATTAGGCAAACATACAGTTAGAAATAAAAATCTATATACATCTGAAAATCCACTCATCAGAAAATAATGAAAGTTAAAACTGAGTACACAAATGTATTTTAAGTATGCTAATTAATGATCACATATTTCTATTAAAAAAAAGTTTGTAATTTAACAATAAATTACAAATTATCTATATTAAAGGAACATAAAAATAAAGAATAACAGATGTCAATATATACTAAAATAAACACTCACAAAAATTAACAATGATTGAAAATGCCTCACCAATACCCTCATGGAATCCAACAGCTTTCCTCTTTTCTCTCCTAGTCGAGCCACATTATCCAGCAACGACATCGTTGGCCTGGCTCTTGGTCTTTTGCAAGTTGGTCTAGCTTCGAAGAACTTGCATGGTCCACAGTCTTCATCCACTTGGCATATATGTCCGAATCACACCGAATATCATCGGCATAGAGTAGTTTCTGAGCAAGAACTGTTCTTTAGAGTTGGTATTTATTTTAATATTATTGACTCTGGAAAAACATGTAAAATTAGGCTGTCATATCAGATCAGAGATTTCTTGTCCGAAGAACATAAAATTTTCAATTTTTGCAATGAAAATGGGTGGCCGTTCAGGATCTAAAATTTCTTTTTTTTCCAGAATCGTGTTTTTAGTATTGTTGGCTGTAACAGAGCTACTGATTGAGGGGATTGATGAAACTGATTCTGATTTGATGGCTTAAGTGTTTTTGCTACGAGTGTTTGGTGTAGTTTTATTTGTTTCAGATGTCTTATTTGATCTGGCCAATTAATTTTTTTTCTTGTTTGGTGAGTTTCCCGCTGATCTGGGGGCAGAGTTTCGATTGCGCTTTTGAAGAGTCCTTCTTTTTAAATTGTGAATCGGTCTCACTGACCTCAGAAAATGGTGTCTCTTCCTCCGATTCTTCACCAGACATATTGTCAGGTTCCATGATAAGAGAAAAAAAAATCTATAACTATTATAACACTAAAAAAATAAAAATCTACCAAATAAATTCTTAAAACTAAACTATTTACAGATAAAATACGAAAAATTCGCAATCTACATAATTAAACAAAAGTAAAAGTCTTAGAGTAAAATAAATAAATAGATTAAAGAGAGAAAAAAAAAGTTTATTTCTTTGGATACGAACTCAATATCACTCGAAGGAAGGTGTGTTAGTAAATAGAGACTTGGCTGTGAATCTTACGTAGATAGGGCAAGACCCACCCGTAAAGGGAATTACCGACCAGCTTTGCTGTCTCTACCGAACTGGTACCAATTAACTATTAAACATAATTGTTAATAAATATCTCTCACCTCACTATTTAATGTAAAAATGTTTAAATGTACATAAGCTCACTGTTCACAAATTATAGCGGCAGTATTTGCAGAATTAGCCAGATGCAAAGGAAACAAAGACAGAGCGATGCAAGCATTAAATTGTAGTTGCGGCCATGACACTTGGTACTGGTGATAAAGGTAAAAATTAATTAAGAATTTGTCAGTATTTCTTCACGAATGCAAACAATTTCAGCAAGAAAAGAATGGCTTATCTCCTAGCAAAACGGGAAATGGTTTGCTTATGAGCTACTGAATTTTTTATTGGACATCGATAGACCCAAATCAATGTTGTCAACTGCTAAGTGTTTAGGTGATGACAGGATGATGAAGATCAGTGATGATACGAAATACACTTGAGATAAAATCTACATTATTTGATGAAGATTTTAAAAGCATTTATTGAATATTTATAACATCTATATTTTAAAAAAGAGAGTTTGCCGGTCGGATCTTAATTTCTCTAAAAATGGCGGCTGATTTAATGAATATTGGGCCATTAACTTGAGGATCGAAACGAGAAATTCATTGTGAAAAATGTGAGAAAAGTTTTTATTTTTTTTTTATATATATATATTGGTTGAGACATATAAACAAAATTGCTGATGCGGGCTACCAAGGATTAAAATTTTATATTAAAAAAAACCTAGATTATTTCGATATTTTTTTTGTTTTTCCACCTATAGTGCCTTAAGGGTGCAACAATGCAAAAAACCTTTTCTTTCATAATTTAAATGAAGTTAAATTGTGAGTCGAACGAGTACCTAAACTTTATAATTTGGTTTAGTGGTATGTTCATTAACCATGGTCAAAGAACATCGATTTTTACCAAATTCGTGAAAAATATACAAATTACTATAAATGGGGCTGCAGCTTGGGTATGAGTTCTCATAGAGAAAAAGTTATAGAGCATCAAATTCCACATCCACTGAGTACTAATAGTTTTAATATAGATCAATTATATTAATCGAATTGGAATTCGGTATTTCTTCATGAAATTTTTTACATCTCTGAATCCTTATATATAAGTAATTAAATAAAAACTTTTCCCACATTTTACGCAATGAATTTTCCGTTTCGATCCTCAAGTTACTGGTCTAAGATTCTTTACATTAGCAAGTAACAATTTTTACAGGTAGGAAGATCCAGCTGGCAGACTCATTTTTTAAATATAAATATTTTAAAAAAATTCTTTTAAAGTTTTAATCAAATAATGTCGATTTTTTTCTCACAGACTATTGGACTGAAATGAATTTTCCACTACTCTCTAAGCATAAAATATTAAATTATACTGAATTTCTTGACCATCAATTTATAGCTCTCTTCTCCTATATCATGTTTTTGTTTTCCTTTTATGATTTAAGGTGATTACCCAATACGCAGCTGCCACGACTGTTTTTAATGACATGATATGCCAAATTGAAATTGCCTGAATGGAATCGCTTTTGTCAAATGCCACACAAGTGTATGACAAAGAGCATGCGATATGGGACTACAAATTCCGCATGTGATATGGGACAACAAATTCCGCATGCAACATTAACTGAATTTTGTGCCACATAGTCGGACGGCTACAATAGGCAGCACTAGGAAACAAGTAACAAGCAACATGTTGTTCAGTGTTGTCTTAGTGGAATTCCGCCTTAACACTATTGGGATTCCTTTCTTGGGGACTAAAAGTAATCTTGTGGACTTTCTTATGGGAAAATAGAGAGTTCCTAATCAGTAGGTCAAAGTCAATGCAAAAATCTATTAGCCTCTGACCATTGGTATTTTTGGTTTCCTCACCTCCGTGTTTCCCCATCACTCCATGAGATTGGCGGAAATCATTTTCGTTCTTTGGATTGAAGTCACCTGTAATAATTATCACTCTATGTGTCTTAACAACTTCTCTTTCTAATTCAGCATAAAATTGTTCTTTATCGAGAATGTCTGCATTCTCTGTAAGGGCATTTATCTGAATAAAAACTAAATGCTTTAATGATATTTCAGAATGAATAGTTATAATCCTAGAAGATACCAGGTTCCATTCTTTAACCTCAGTGAAGATGTTATCTTTCATGATAATCCCTACTCCTTCCTTTGCTCTGGTATCCTTCAGGATTCCCAAATATATCAAGGTATGGTCTCTGGGCAGCCTTAGCTTTCCGTCACATTTTTTCTTCACTTCACTAATACCTAGGATGTCTACGTGGTATGCCATCATCTTTGCAGATATCTCATCTTCTTTTCCTGTAAGTATCTTTATGTTCTGTGTAGCAAGTCGAATTTTCTTATGAGTGCCATGTTGTAGCCGTTAATTTCAATCCTGTCCGAGGCCACTTAATAAACTCTGAATCATTAGAACTACTTTGGGGGTGATTAGCCCAGCTAAATAGGCCTTCCGATTATTTATAACCCCTCGGAAAAAGGGGTGGCCAGGCTATACCCATGGCAAATAATATAAAATTGTTTGTATAAAATAATTTTATTAATTGAAAAAAATATATAAATTTAAAGTGTTAATAAATAAATAAAGTGTCAATAAATAAATAAAGTATTTTATTTTTAATTATTACTTATTATATAACTATCTCAATTGTAAGAAATCAGTGTGTAGTAAAGTATGTGTGTATCTATTTTGGAATAGTGGTTAAAATTTATTAACTTAATTTATTCATAATTAATATTTATTAATTTTTTCCATATCTAGTTTTTTATATAAACTAGTATTACACCGATTTTTTTCACTTCCACAATCCTACTACGTTTCGGCTCGTCGAGCCATTCTCAAGTCTAGAAACAATTTTTCAATTCAGTCATATCTAATATTTTTTAGTTAACTTTTTATGCATGGTTATTTGTATAATCACTGACATATTAAAAAAACAAAACACAAAATTTTGAAATATAAAATTTTTTATAATTACCTCTCATGTACTTGTCTATTACATTTCTTATATAAAATACATGCGTTTTCTTGTAATAGCCAGTATCACACTCGTCACATCTATTTTTAACTATTCTATTACTTTATTATTATAAATATTATTCTTAATAAATGATTTATATAATATTGAATTACCATATTATGTGTCAGCCCAAATGTTCTCAGTTTCATTGTTACAGAGCGACTAGTTGATTTTATTGGAGTGTGGAAGATTATATTATATTTTATATATTTATATATCTGGTGTTTCTTTATATTTTAAGTGAATCTATTTTAAGCAATACTAGCAATTCATTTTAAATGTTATTTTTTCAATTGAATTCGCATAAAATATATTCAAATTATTTACGTCCGTATAATTATTTACAGAATTTTTCAAGTTTTTTTGTAATATATTGTAACATCTCTCTTATATTTTACAAATAATAATAATATTATCTCGGAAGATTACTTTATACCATTGGGATGCTTCCAAAAGAAGAGTTTGTTAAATAATAAACAAAATTATAAGAGCATTAATATATTAAATTGAAATTTATAATTATTTTATCTCAGGTATGGGTTACTGACATTCAGATCAAAACACTCAGTTACACTATTTATCATTTCAATGAAATGATTCTAGATTCCAATGTTTAGTTTCTATGGAATCAAAATGTTTATTCAGTATCATTAGTTCAGTGCCGTTTCTTGCAGCACATTTCTTAGTCTCCGGCTTTTAATTTTTTCAATTAAATTTAATGTTGCGCTTGGTGTGGCACTTATTGATGATGGACGTTCCATTAGATATGCAGCTAATGCCATCGGAGTTCCATATGAAACATTACAAGACGCCATCAGGCGTTTTCAGGAAACTGGTTCTTACAATAGAAGGCCCGGTTCTGGATGGTCTAGGGTAACAGAACCACGGGATGACCGGTTTTTCATTTTGAGAATTTTACCTTACCGTTGTTCAAGCGATTCATCAGCTCGAAGAAGTTCGAGATGTGCAAATTTCTGAACGTACCGCTCGGAGAAGATTAAATGAGTATGGATTAATGGCTTTTTGTCCAGTAAGAGGACCAGAGTTGACCAGAACTCACAGAGTAACACGGCTGGCTTTTGCTCGAAAACACAGCCATTGGACTATGAACGAATGGGGTGCTGTACTTTTTACAGATGAGTCAAGATTCGCTCTTCGATCTCCAGACGGGCGTGAAAGGGTGTGGAGAAGAAGAAACGAAAAATATGCAGCCTGTAATTTTTCCCAGAGCGAACCTTTCCAACGTGGTTCCTTAATGGTGTGGGCTGGGATTTCAATAGAGTGCCGCACAGAATTGGTTGTTGTTCGTGGAGGGTCTTTGATGGCCATTCGATACGTAGATGAGATTTTGGAACCTCATGTGTTGCCTATACTCAACGAAATCGGCGATTGTTCTATTCTAATGCACGATAATGCATGCCCACATGTCGCCCGCATAGTGCAAACGTTCCTTCAACAGAACAATATTGAGGTTTTAGCCTGGCCAGCTCGTTCTCCAGATTTGAACCCCATTGAGCATTTATGGGATAACCTCGGAAGACGAATAAGAGCGCGTGCAACACTTCCTGATACACTGCAGGACCTTGAAAGGGCTCTTCGGGAGGAATGGGCTATCCTCCAGCAAAGGGACATTTCCTGACTGGTGGAAAGTATGCCGAGGCATCTTCAAGAAGTAGTGAAGGCAAGAGGAGGAAACACGCGCTACTAAATGATGATGTAATTAATTTCTTTTAGAATAATAATGGTTCGTTTTGGAATCTAGAATCATTTCATTGAATTAAGGGTTATTGTCCTCTATATTAACATTCCTAATTGAAAACAAACAAAAAGATTACCTATTTATTCATTAAAAACAATAGACCAATCCAAAGCAGAAATATTTTTAGATGAAAACATGAAAAAATCAAGTGGGTGGAATTTTTTGCCTGTCAGTGTGTATTTGAAAATTAACTGATAAAATAGAAAGAACATTTAAGCCATATGATGTAAGTGAAATTAAATTTGCAAGCAAACCAAATTATAAAATAGATACAATTTATTCTAAAACTAAAGATGAAGTGCCTATTGATAAATTAACAAAAATATTATTTATAAGATAAACTGTAAAAATAGTAACAATAAATCATATTTTGGACAGACATCACAGTGGTTTGAAAAAAGACTTAAGCAATATAAACAAAACTGTAATTCAAAAATCACAAAAACTAAATTAGCTACTTGGCTTTCTCAGCATACTATGCAAATTAAACATGAGTTTGATTTTAAAAATGCTAAAATCCTTCATAATGAAAATAATATTAATAAGCTTAGAATAAAGGAAGCTATGTATATTACAAAAAACTTAAAAAATTCTGTAAATAATCATACGGACGTAGATAATTTGAATACATTTTATGCGAGTTCAATTGAAAAAATAAACATTTAAAATGAATTGCTAGTATTACTTAAAATATGATCCACTGTTCTATAAAGAATTAAACTATTAAAAATACATAATTTAAGATTATATTATAATATCTGCAGCCTTATCTTTATTTACTCAGTAAAAATACATTTGTTTTGTTCTACAGGATGGAGAGAAAGGGATACTAGTAAGTTTTTTCTTTTCTTCTGTGTTTGCTCCCATAAATTGATTATTTTTAATGTTATTAAAAAGACAAGTTTTAGTAAAAGTATTCATAGCATTTTTGGAGACGGCTTATTTTCATTGCACATAAGTGTTTTCTTTATCTTGTCAAGATTGTTCATAAGAATATAAATTTTACTATTTTTAATGTTATTAAAAAGACAAGTTGTAGTAAAAGAATTCATAACATTTTTGAAGACGGCTTATTTTCGTCGCACATAAGTGTTTTCTTTATCTTGTCAAGATTGATCATAAGAATATAAATTTTATTAAGTGAAAAAGCCATTGAACTCAGTTACAATTTCGTATGATTATTTTTTAAAATATTTTAATAGTAGTTTTCAAAGTGAACTACTAATTATAATTGAAAAACTCTTATAAGAAAGGAGAAAAATTAGTTTTTCTGCTTTTTGAGATTAACACATTGTTTAACAATTTGAAAGCTTGTTAAAATACAAAATTGCATCACATGATTATTTTGAATGATTGGCATGGTTTTCTGTAGTTTTTTGCAGTTAACTGTAAATAATATATACATTTAGTACATAATGGTTAACGGAAAATATTTTTAAAGCCATAACTGGTCAATTTTTCTCCATTTCTTTTGACTTTGACGATATTAAACTTTTTCAAATTCTTAAAGTATGTCGTTTTTAAGCCTTCCAAATAATTATATATTTTTTATTCTAGCTAATTTTTTACATCAGTAACTAATAATTGAATTGCTGTTATTACCCAATGACAATATTCAGTATTATTTGGAAGTTAAATTATTAGCACTTTCCACTGAACTATATCACAGGGCTACAAGAGAAAAAAATATTTTTGGTGGATTTTGGAACTAATTTCAGCTAATTTTGGGCTTAAAATCTAAGTATGAAATCAATTTTTTTCTATCAGCTGTACTTTTTGAAATAAGTGTAAAAAGAGAAGTAAAACCGCCTGCTTGACTCAAGCCGCTTCTTTCCTGCTTGACTAGGCTAGGAATCCCCACTTCGTCACTGGGAATCCCATCCTTCATTTGAACACTTCTACTATATTTGAGGTCAGTTTGTGAGTTTTGTCCAAACAGGATTGATTGATTGAAGTTGATAAAAATGAGTTAAGGTAAAAGTGGTGTAAATCATCCTGATGTGTTTTGCTACATATACGGAGAATAGACTCAAAAATGTAACAGAAAGACTGTTAGTGACCTTGTAAAGAGAGCTTATCATGGATAAATTGGTGTAAAGCTCAGTGTGTAAAACTTGTATGGAACATTTACACCAGTGGGCTAGCGGGGAAAGAAAATGTTTGAAATTTGGCGTACCAATGGTTTGGGAAGAACCCAAAAACCACATTGATGACTATAAAATACTAGTAAATATTACTAGAATCAACAGAAACAACTACAGCAAATGGACTTATCCTGACTTAGTCTCTGCAAGACGCCCAGTACCTCCCTCACAGGAAGTACCGATCCCAGGGTTTCACCAGCTTCTAGAGCTTTCTGAGGACGAGTGTTGTCCCTATAATCACACTTCTAGTACTAATGAGGGTGATGGTGATTATAATTAAATTAGTGGATTTGGGTTCCAAGGTCAAGGAACATAAATGTGTGATTTCCGTGGACTTAAAAATTGTTAACTTTCTGCTTGGATTGAAAAGTGACCACACCAAATATCCTTGTTTCTTGTGCCTCTGGGATAGCAATGACAAAACAAGGCTGAACAAAAAGCATTCATTTGTTACAGTTGTCAGAAATTTTCTGGGCCAACAAAGAAACTGAAAGTCATGTTGAACTAGAGATGTGAAATTCGATGCTTTTGATTGAACCGATTCACAATGATTCAATCATTGTAGTGAATCGATTCTTCTATTGATTCTTTTCATTTTCATTTTATTTTTTATTTTAACCCTCCAAGGCATCTCAAAAGAAGATGGCCTTGGGACCTTCTAATATAGAAATATAATAGGAGTGCTACCAATGGATTTCTCTTCATGTCATGTTACTTGTCGTATTTATCATTTAATACGGTTGTAAATTTCAATAATAAAAAAAAAATCTTTAAATTAAAAAAGAATTTTTATTGAAAAAAAACAAATATTGAACCTTATGGTCATTCAAGCAAAAACTTTTTTTTAACTAATTGAAATTAAAAGTCCATGTTCACATGTATAAAAATAATAAGTTATGAATCTTTTAAGTATGAAGGAAGTTTATATTGGACGGGAAATATTTTTTTTAAATTTTACATATTAGATTTTGGTCGAGTACATAAACCATAAATGAAATGAAAAATAAGAAATAATTTTATTATTCTGGGACTGATGTCCCTTTAGAATGAATTATAATTACAAAATAAATTAAACAAGACAGAGTGATAAAAATAAAAGTGCAAGAGAGAGATAAAAAAATATT